TTTTTTTTCTTTTCATGATGGGAGTGGTGAGGCTGTGCCTCCCCTGCCTCACCTGACTGCACGTCACTGCTACTATTGAGGGATCTACTACTTGGTTATACAAAGAAGATATCCATGTACAATTTGTTAGCTAGCACAATACTAAAATCTGTATCAAACAAGGCATAAAAAGGTACAGAACAAACAATATGTGAAGGCAAGAGCAACATAAAGGTGACCCCTTTTGTCTTCTTTTTTCTGGGGGAGCATACATTTCTCAACCATCTAAAACTTAAATATCTGTTGACAGAAAACACTATCCTATGAAAAAAACAGTTAAATTACTATGATTAACTGTAAAGCTTATCTGATTTAAGAAGAAATATGATATTCTATGAGCAACAAACTTATTGGTTGCTACAACTCCTTTTTCCAGCATGCAAACCAAATATTAACAGAACAATGGAAAACATTATTCATTGGAATATTTGCTTTCCTAAGATTCCTGGAACACTTATATGCTGTGAATTATAATTACTTTGAAATAATGTTACACAAGTACTTTTAGCACTCCTTCTTTTAAATCCTTCATACACTCTAAGTAATATTAATTATATGTCATACATCAAAGTCAGCCAGTACAGTATAGTACCCTCATCTCCATCTGGTGGTTTCTCATATATGTTTGACTTCAACTCCTACAATCTCCAGCCCTTAATACTGAAAATGTACCAAGTTATTAAAAAAAAACCTGGCACAGTGAATAAGAGTTAAAATAGACACAAATAAATTAAGCATTGTCATATACAGGTCATGGAAGAAGTCTGAATGAATAAAGTAGGAAAGGATCAGTTATGAAACTACCAATATACACAATATAGTGTTTGCCTAACCAGCTTAATCAATCTCACTAGAGAATTTCTTGGATACAACTAGAACAATAAATGAAATGCATTCTAAATAATATTTGAAGTTGCTAAAATATAGTCCACCAATATTTGGAAAGAACCACTAGCTCAAGGCTTTTCCATAATGGAAGTGAGACACTCATATTTAGCAAAACATTTTTGCAAATAAAGCAAGCCTGAACTTTCCTTCTCCTTTCTCCGTTTCATATAGAAAGCATCAACTGGAGTTATGGGTTAAAAAGTAACTACTTCTTTGCTGAGTAGAGGCTGCCTCCAGATAGTTACTTAGACTTCAAGAAACTTGGCCTCCAAGTTTATAACAATAGGGTAGTGGTTGGGTAGTTGTCTCCTGTTCAAGTCCTTTTAATTATGGCTAATTCAGCTTGCCTTTTTAAGATTAATCAAGGTCAGTTAGGTGCTGCCACTTACTCAGATACCAGATTTACAGATTTTAGTACAAAAATAAGGTATCCTGTGTTGATCTCCAGGACAGTATTGCAAACTGATGTCTCTTGGAGACATGAACACGTAAACCATATCCCTTATTTCCAATTTTTAAAAGGGGATGTCAATTATAAACTCTTCAAGCTTTTATTACCAACTTTTTCATTTTTCTAGCATACCATTTTCCAGAACTATTTTGAGGAATGGAAACAATAAGCTCAATTTTTTATGTTTCCAAAACTAAATGATGTTTGCTGTCTTAAACACCTACTTGCAGGCACACATAAACATTCAAACTAGAAATAATTTACCCTAGTCTGAGAATGGAACCATACAATTCAAGGAGACATCTGGATCCAGCACTAATTCCAAAAAGTGATTCATTTATTTACTTCTTTATTGTGAATATATACTTATTTATTACTCACGTATTTATAATGCAGTAATTATACAATTATTATTCTTCATATAAGGGAAAAAATAGCTAGAATTCCTGGCTTCTTTGCGGTAATAATGTTTAACTGAAAAAATTGCCTGTATCGTTTCCATACGAGAATCCAGCTTGTTCAATCACTTGAGATCTCTTACTTTCTAATGTCCCAATGGTCCCATTTTAGATATGTTGAGGTGAAACAGAAAGAGGGAATCTTTACCTACCTGAGCATCTTGCTCAATTAGGCTTTCTTTAATCTGGCCATCAGGGTCTCTGTTGGCCTAAAAGGAGTACAAGTAAAAGTTTTATGACTCTGTGAATCAAGACTATAATTAGATAGTATTTAAAAATCAGTGGTTATTATATCATAGTCAAGTCTTTCTTCTCTCTCTCTCTCTCTCTCTCTCTCTCTCTCTCTC